ATTCTCCGCCCGGCCCTCCTCCGGGGGAGGGAGTGGTGTGCTTACCATCTCCTGAAGAGCAGGTCCCTCCACCTCTGGGTTGCCCGTCTCAGGGCCTCTGCTCTTTTGCTTGCCACCAGGTTTGGCGGGGGCCTGGACGGGCGGGGCGGCTGCATGCCGAGGCAGGATGTACCTGATGACCTCGGTCTGCTTTGGTCAGCGGAGAACTGCTGGGCAAGTTCTCCACCGTGTCGCCGAAAAGGCCGGCCTGGGACACGGGGGCGTTCAAGAATCGTGTCTTGTCCGTCTCGCGCATGTCAGCCAGTCACAGCCAGAAATGGTGCTCCTGGACCACCATAGTGGACATCGCACGACCCAGAGACCACGCCGTAATCTTCGTCGCTCGTAGCGCGAGGTCCGCCGCGGTGCGGAGTTCTCTGCGAACTTCCGGGTCGTGACCACCCTCGTGCAAGTCTCTCAGTGCCTTAGCCTGGTGCACTTGCAATAACGCCGAAGCGTGTAAGGCAGACGCAGCTTCTCCACAGGCCGTATAAGCATCGCTGGCCAGTCGAGTACCTACAGACCCGGGAGGAGAGGCACGGTTCTCCCTGCCGGCTGGAGGCGGTATTAGGACACAACTGAATCGCAACTGACCGCTCCACCGGGGGACTCCGATGCTGCAGCCGACATCCGATCATCGGGGGGAGCCTCAGAAGAAACAGGTTGTCCCAGCGAGGGTCCAGGAGGGTCCAGCCTGCTCTTTTGAGAGCTCCGCTAGTTTCGAAGTCCCGGCTGGCTGGGGAATCCCCGGAGGGGAATTCCTCACCGTGACCGTAAGACCAGTCCGCCCACTGCCAGAAAAAGGGCGCCCCCGGCTGCCGCCAGAGGGAACCCCAGATCTAGGCAGTGGCACGGGCACTCCGCCCCCTTGCAGGTAACGGAGTCTGGTCCGCAACTCCAAGATGGTCATACCCCCGCAATGGGAGCATGAGTCATCCACGAAAGCCACCTCAACGTGCCCAAACACGAGAGGCAGCGATCGTGACCATCACCCGGCACCAGGTAACGACCGCACCCAGAAACACACGGATGGTACGACATCTTTAAAAAGATGCGTCTTCGCTCGGCTCCAAAGCGAAAAGCTGAATATGCACTGCATCTGCTGCCTACTTATACTCACGCTGTGAGCAGCAGCAGCTGGATGCAATAATCGCATGCCAATGTGCATTGGCTCGTTTAGTTTACACTCGAAGTGGATTGGTCTCTCTAAGCGAGATCCCAATTTCGTCGGTCATCCGACGTGACGTCGAGAGTGACCGACTGAAAGGGAACTCAACATTAGGACAGTTCAATAATTTTATATGCATTTTCAATTATTTTAGTTCATTAATTTAAAGTATTTGGTATAAATGGACGACACACTTTGTGTTTTTTTTTTTTATTGGCAAGGGAAAATACCCATATGAAGGTAAAAATGCACTAGAAAATAATTTCCAAATATTGCTCTTTAATGAAAAAGTTGACGGTGATACAAAGTGATTTTAGGTTTTGATGAAAATGATTGAGTGTGTGAATCACATGTGATGAGGGTTTTATTGTCATAGATGTGATCATGATGGCTGCTTACTGTGTGTGAAAGTTTTTATGGTATTAAAGTTTTAGAGAAATATTATTGATTTGTTTAGTTTATGATTGCAGTAAGCCAAATTCTGTGCATTTTGATTTAGAGTTTAGAATGATTAAATAAGTTAGTTGAGTGACAGAAAGTGAAAGAAGAAAGAAAAAGAAGCGGAACTAGGACAGGATTTCTGGTAGCAGGTGGCACATTTGAACATTTCGTTTTCCGACTATAACCACAGAGCATGTTTGTCTGGCAAGGACATCAGCAGCAGAAGGCTGCGTGTGTGCGTAAGCTTACGTGTGTGTATATGTTTGCGTGTTAAATGCATGCGTGTGTGTTTGCGCTGTGTAAGATCACTTGTTTGGCCTTGCATCTACAGGATCAGTGGTAGTCTTCACTGAGTAAAGTTATGCAGCGAGCTGGGGAATTTTTTAACATATCCCCAATGGTGCTGGGCGGCTGCCTGGATAAATATAGACGTGTTGATGCGTGTCCCTCGCTCGCTCACTCTCGCGCTCAACCTCCAAAGCTTTTAATCAAAAGCAATCTGGAGGAGGGAAGTGGAAAAAAAAAAAGGAGAAAAAATTTGGAATGTGCCAAGATCTTTTGTGTTCCTCGCTCCTGATCCTCCTGCTAAAGGAATCAGCAGGCAGGCTTTCTGTGTGTGTGGAGGAGGGTGATGGATAGCGCTGCTAATGTTTGCGTGTAGCACGGCCCGACCCTCCGTACTTTTCCCCACAGTTCCTGCGAATCTTCCCACAGTGACCACGGTCAATGCCTTTGCTCTGTGGGCATGTGATTACTTCCCACGGAGCTCGCAGTTTCAAGTCTCAACCTCTTGTTTCAACAACACCCACCTTCTGTCAGCTAACATTACTACCTTATATTCATTGTTTGTCTTTACATTTATCCCTGCTAGCACAACAGTTTCCTTTCTGTCTCATTTTTTCAGTTCACACCTCCTCCTGCCTACATTATCCCTTATAGCGGGCTGCCGTTTTGTCTGTCAGACCTGAGTCACGTATCGCAGGGTTTCAGTGTCTCTGCCAGATTAGCTCTTTTTTTGACGCCTCAGCTTTTATTTTTGGTCACCACATGATGAAGAACCCTTTCATCTGTAGCTGTGTAGTCAGGGAAGACAATTTTTATGTGAACTTGGGGTATCACATGTACAGTAATTTGCATAATATATGCATGCAACAATCTATTAGTTTATTATTTTTTTAAATCATTAGAAATGCGATTAATTAGACGAGTTTAAATTTATACATTTTATTCATTAATGATTAATAATAATAATAATAATAACAATTATATTTTTGAAAAATAATGCTTCAGTGCTAATGCTAAAAATGCTTCAGTTTATTAAATAATAATTTAATAGTTTATTAAAATGTATTATTGCATTTTTATTGGTTATACCACATGACATTTTATTGTCATTAAATTTAAAATGTTCGTAAAAATGGAATTAAAGTTAAAAAAAAAAAAAACATATGAAACCAACATAAAAAATGTTCTTTCTTTATTATGGACACAACTTGTCACTGACCCAGAATCAAGGAATGCATGAAATGAATGTCATCCTAATTTCATCTGCCATCTTTTTGAATTTTGTATTATTTTGTTAGATTTAAAATGTCACACACATGTGAAGTATGTAATTTTTTTCTGTCAAAACACTTTCTTATATTTCAGTTTAATATAATAAGTAAACCATTTTTGGATTCATTATTTTTGCAGTTATGTTTAAAATTGCAGAAGTTACACACTTCACCTTCACAAAATTAGTGAAACTTTAAATTTGAAATATGATATTTCTTTTACCCCAGGTAATGTGGGTATGTAACAAGTGCCGAAGGCAACAGGATATGCTTACTAAATCAGGAGAGTGGTTTCCAAGTCATGGGCCCAAGGCTGGAGAGCTTGGGTCAGCAGTGAGTGAACCGGCCATGTGTGGAGATCCCGTTGGGGAGAAGAAGGTGCGCTCTAGGTCTCAGAACCCTCTCGACTCCTCCGTTTCCACTGCCCATGATACCCAGCCACATGCCCCGACCGACCCCAGAAAAGGCCCTTCCACAGGGTCAGCCGACACGCTGTCATCGCGGTCACGCAGTGAGCCTCCACAAGAAAGGTACACTTCAGCCTCTCACTCTCTCAATACAAAATCTAGAAAAGTAACTGTTTCCCAAAATATTTTTTAAAGGTTATAATGAACAAAAAATTATTAAAGTCAGAATTGACAATTCTTACTTGTTTATGGACTATTGCGGTGTTTATTATAAATTATTCATCTGTGCACAATTTTTTTTAGTTCAGTTGCCCTTGTAATCTTTAATTAAAAACATTGACTTCCCTCCCCCTCGCAATAGCATCTCTTCTCTGATGACGTGTGCAACAGTGCGAGAACAGTACAATGATCCCTCCAGCAACCTGTCACTCAAATGAGATCTCAGCAATTGGCAAACAACAACAATCCAACGATCCAATCAATACCTGATGGACAAAATCAAGTCCCACCCTACGTTTTTTCTTGCTTGAGTAGCCGTTTCACTCTGATAAAATAGGGAAGATAATCACTACTTTCATTTTAATGTCGACTTTAATAATTATAAATGGTTTATTTTTTTGCAGTTAAGATGTATTGTTGTAATCACATTTAAATAAATTACCTGATAGCTTTGGATGACACATTTTATTTGTATATATGGTACACTCTTTTTTCTACAATTTTTTTTGATTCCCCAAGAACCTTTCAGTGACCAGTTCTTAAAAGAACCATTATTTTCCTTAGTGTGAAGAACATTTAAATAATCTAAAGATCCTTTTTCCATTAAAAAGAACCTTGTGAGGTTCCATGGATGCCAATAAAGAACCATTGTTTTTAAGAGTGTTTTTACTCTTAGAATATCTTAGATATTCACTACTAGATTTCATCATAGTTTGGGCACTCTTTAGCTGGCCAACTAAACCAGCTAAACACCAGTTTAGCCAGCTAGATCCGGCTAGATGAAGTTTGGCCAGGCTTGAGAACCACATTAAACCAGCTCAGACCTGCAGACCAGTTTAGGCGAGTATTTTCATGACAAACAAGAAGCATCATGACATTGTGTTACTCATTTGGTATGCACTGCGTTGTCTCATTAAAACAACATCCAGTTCTTTTAAATTGGGAAAGACTGTCTGTAAGAATGTCTCTTTGTGATACTGTGCAATTATTTGACCTCTAGAAAAAAGCCACCAGCAGCCTCTGATCAGAATGGCAAGCTTGGGTCAAGAGGTGAGAGGCGGCGAGGCCTATCCAAAATCCACTCCGAGGAGCGAGATACTGGAGAAAATCGGAGAGAAAGTCGAAGACTGATGAAGACTCGCTCTCAGGAGCACGATAGTCCTGAGACCAGGAGAATTGAAGCGGAGCAGAAACCACCCAGGGAACAGTGCAGGACTGACCCAAATGCTTCACATCATCCGCCCAAACTCCGGCCAGCGGAGCCTGATGGACGTATGCATCCTAAGCCGAGGGAGGCAGGGGAGATGGTGCAGGACAACAGAGGTGCACATAGATGGACAGATGGGCGGCAAGCCTCACTGGAGGGCAAGCAGCAGGCCTACGCCCCAGAGAGGACCGCGGGGGGTACAGGTTTGCAGGGTGCGCCTGTTGTGCAGGGTCCTCCACCTAAAACGAACCACATCCCACAGCCGCCTGCCCCAGGGTTCAGGGTGGGCCCTGCCATGCCCGCAGGCCCACCTGAGCTCAGGGAGCCTCAGGAATGGGACAGGAAGTTGCAGCCGAGCCACCTGGACCCTGGCTCGGCTGCGCTGTTGCGCAAATCGAAACGTCAAAAAGCTGAGAGCATGCTGCGCAATGATTCGCTCAGCTCTGACCAATCGGAATCTCTACGACCGCCCCCGCCCCGCCCCTACAAGAGCAAACGGGGAGGAAACAAGAGGCAGATGTCTGTTAGCAGCTCGGAGGAAGAGGCCGGTTCGACACCGGAATACACCAGTTGTGAAGATGTGGAGATTGAGAGCGTCAGTGAGAGAGGTGAGTCAGATGGATACCTGCTTTTGTGTAATTTATAAATTTAATCATGTGTTTGCATAAACACAAACCTCCATGATTCAGAAAAGGAAATCACCATCAATATGAATGTAATATTTAGTTTGATTGATGAATTTAGTGCTTTTTGCAACGGGTTTGCAATGGATTAGCGAGATTGCTTCATTCATTTGCTTTGTGTGCAAATGGCAGGGTTTGCAGCAATGACTGTCCATAAAGGTCCTGCAGGTTTTATACTTTTTTAAATTAATTCATTACATTCTTTCTTGCTTTCTTTCTTTCTTATATGCCACGAGGCTATTGGTGCCGACAAGTTTTATACTTTATAAAACGTACTGATTTTTATTTAAAAAAAAGAAATCATTTGACATGTTATATATACATTTACTTTTTAAATGTTTAGGATTAGAAATCATTCTAAAATGCTGATTTGGTGCTCTAGGAACATTTCTTATCATTATCAATGTTTAAAATAGTTGTACGGAAATTGTTTTCCAGATTTTTTTTTTCAGGATTCTATGGTAAATAGAAAGTTGAAAAGAATAGCACTGATTTAAAATAGAAATATTGTATAAATGTATTTACTGTCACTTGATCTGATAAATTTAATGCATCCTTTCTGAATAAACAGTAGTTAATTAAAAAAAAATAATAAAGATAGATAGATAGATATTTGTGTGTAATAAGCTGAAAACCTAATTTACATACTAATGAATTACTTATCCAAGTCTTAATAACAGTATTTTACAGTGTATCTACAGTGGATATTTATAAAGGAGATGGTATGCGCAGAATAATTGTTCACTGGTTTTGACTGGTTGAAGGTTGGGGTGTGAAGGAGAGGAGGTTATTCACATTGCACTGTGTGCTGTTAGCCTGGCAAACTGACTGAACACAGACTTAAAAGGTCAGTGTATTAACACAAGCCAGGGGTGAAATGTAAACATTGTGAGTTGAATAGGAAAGACAGGCTATAGGAGAAGGAATGAGAGACTAAAAATAGGAGAACAGGACATTGAGAGGAGGTTAAGCAGAAAACAAGCTTGCTCTTATCAGTGCAACAACATTTCATCAGGTTCAACAGAAACGACAGGTAAGAGAATTGACTCTTTCTTCTAAAGAATAGGAACTGAATAATTGAAGTTGACACCTTTAAAGTTAATATATTAGTTCTGTTATAATTTTCTTTATTACAAGAAATTTGAACTTTAAACTCAGTGTTGCTTTTTAGTTGTACAGAACTGGGTACAAAATCTTGAGCAGAGATTGATATTTATTAGATTTGATTTCTTTGTTGTTACCTTGGAAAGTTAGAATTATTAGAAGTAGATTAATACAAATGTGTAACAATACATACTGTATACATAATACATAATGTATGTTGCAATGTGAAACTATGTACTAATGAAATATTTATTTGCTAAGCACTATATTTTGGCGGTCATGTGAATGAGAAGTACAAGGCTTAGATAAAAACCCACACAGGGGACCAATCCACCATGCAACAAGCAATATATTAAACATTTATACCCTTAGACAGCTAATACTTCATGCAGACCTCTTCTTCTTAATATTACTTTATGGCATTTTATTATGACTTATACATGTTTCTTTTGTGAGTTGCTCATTGTTTTGTGCTCATTGTTTTTTTTAGCTGTTAAAACTTTCAGGAGTGATAGTTGAATTTTGTTGCTTTCCAGAGTTTAACATTTTTATTTAGAGTAACTTTTTATAGGATAACCCTGCTCAGAACTGGGTTAGACAGTGAAGAAGCAGCCTTCCTTAAAAAAGTAACCTATGAAGATTCCCTGAGTGACATACTTGTAAGTAAGCTATCCAGGTCTCAAGGTCTCTTTTTCCCCTTATTTTGAACACCTGAACCTTTTTTTTTTTAATCAGATGCCTCACTAGCTGAAGCTACTTTATAAAATCAATACTTTTGATTCTAAAAATTGGATTGGATGAGTCATGTTGTAAAATAACCAGTATTTGTATATATATTAATCTATATAAACATGTGTATGTTTGTGTGATTCTAAGGTGTTTTTAATGATTTTGAGTCAGAAGAGCCCATCCCCAAATCAATATTTAAGTCTTCAAAGCAAATTTGTGGGATTTTTTTGTCAGTTTCATCATTCACAAGGTTTTTTTAAAAAAAAGTATCATATCAATAAAAGTGATGCTTCTCTAGCAAATAGCACTTATTATTTATTGAACATTTATCCATATAAAAGCTACTGGCCAACCGAAAGTACATCACACTTTTATTTTGAACCTTTTAAAAGCTGACTGAAAGTAATTCAAATCTGATGTCTATGGCAACATTTAATTTGTACAATCTATTTTTGTTTTTCGGATGACAATTTGAGCACTTTTCACCATCTCGCATCATGCTCAAGACACCCTATGTGCTCAAACATATCCAGAAAACACCCCAGAAACGCATATAAAGCACTCATCCATATAGCATGCCAACAGTAAATAGAATGCCAATGTCACGGAAAGCGTTTTTGGTGTCAGCATTTGATTCCACTGTCTGGGGACTAAATGTAGCTCTTAAACATATATTCACAAACACTCTTGCTCCCTCTTGCACTGCAGGTGGGTCAAAGCAGAACATATTTTACCGTGAGATCTTGGCTGCAGGTGCCATTTTGGGGCTCAGATATTCATTAAGCGTAAACAGAGTGGGTTTAGAGATGGACTCTGGCTAGTGTAAGGTGGCAGCTCACATAGTCAGCATATGTACTGTACAGTGTATCTCTATGAACTTTTGTGTGTGTGTTTTAGGGGACTGGGAGTGCTGTCCACTGGGCCCCACTGCGTGGCATGTAAGTCATTCCTACATTGTGTTTTAATCATTTAAATTCATCATTCATTGATTGTTCACTGACCATTTTACTTCCATAATGTGATATATTTTTAGAGGAAAATGTAGCGCAGGACTTGTAAATTGACTGATCTGTAAACTGTAAATTAACTGGATGTGTTTGTTACATATATTATGCCACTGTAGCTCACATTGCCAAGGTCATGGGTTAGATTCCCAAGAAATGCATGAAGTTATAAAATGCATAGCTTGAATGAAAATTTATAAATGTAAATGTGACACACCAGATTTGAGCAATACCAAATGCAATTTTGCTAAAACAATTACTAAATAGCTATTTGCACATTGGTTAACATTAGGCCTGTGTGGTCTCAAGTGGAAAATTAACTTTTTGAATAAACCTTTGGAATAAGTATTAGAATGACACACATTTTCTTTGCAATAGCAATTTTTTTTGTTTGCCATCATTTACAAGACGAACAGGAGGGTGAACTAAGAAAGTCAATAGTAAATTTTGTTTTTTTTAAACTTAGCTTTAGAGTAACTGAGAACACTGGTGAGTTGCGTGCAGTATTACTTAGTATAATTGAGATAATATAGTTTTTTTTATATATATATTTTGAAGTTTTTATATATTCCTTTTAGTTAAAGTTAGTAGAGTTATTAAAGTTTTAGTAATTCTTGTGTTGTGCTTTTTTATGTCTATATAATCTTTTTTTCATTTTTATTTCAGTTTTACTATGTTATTTAATTACATGAAGTGAAACTAAATGAAAATGTTTCTGTTTCTGTTAGCTATAATAACCCTGGTTGTGTCTGTGTGTGTGAATGCGCATGAGTGTGAAGGTGAGGTAAGGGTTAGATGTAATGGAATGGTCCTTTCTCTGATGGGATTAATCTCTGCCTTGTTCTCTTTAGCATCCGGTTACATGGCAGCCCTCCAAGGAAGGTGATCATTTAATTGGCCGAATCACTTTGAGCAAGAGAACAGCCATGCCAAAAGAGGCTGGGGCTCTGCTAGGGCTAAAGGTGAGGGGAGAGCAACTTGCATAAACATACGGTATAAACACAAGTTCCACTCCTAAATGTTATGAAAACAACAAGTACACCATGTGTCATGGACCATGTACAAAAAATGAAAACACACACACACACACACACAATGTACTGTCATTTATGAATTCTCTGTAGACTTTACCCATCTTTAAATGATTTGTATGGGTACAGGTGGTCGGGGGGAAGATTACAGAAACTGGGAGACTAGGGGCCTTCATCATCAAAGTCAAGAAAGGTAGTTTAGCTGATGTGGTGGGTCATCTACGGGCTGGTGAGTCCAGAACTTTTCTCAGTTTCTCTCAGTTTTAAATAACTAGGACTGTTAATTGATTAAACATTGTAATCAAGTAAATTACCTTATACACTGATTTAGCAAATTAATCATGTATGGATGCATATATTAGTGGTTCTCAACCAGGACCAGTGCCCACTAGCAAGCTTCTAATGTGACTTCAGATTATTTACAACAAGTTAAAATGACTAAAAATCAAGATTTTGTATATAGGAGGCGGAGCTTTAGAATACTGTTGTGGGCAATGGGGGTCATTGGAAAACCACTGGCATATATCAGTATTTACAAAGAAAAGACCCCAAATCAAGATTTTTCATTATTGTGACAAATTAATAAACACAGACCACAAACGTCTTTAGAAGTCAGTATATTGTTTGCATATTGTCTGCATTCTGTTGCAAAAAACATGAGGTTATATTTCAAGCTTAAATTACTGATGGTAGGGGAAAGACTTGCGTAATTTACTGTGCTAATTTAGCACATTTAATTGACAGTCTTAATTTAATTTAATAATGCATTTAGTCCTCAGATATTTTGAAAATGTTTAATGAGTGTGTTTAATCTGTGAAATTTCTATTTTAAGAATTTAATGGTGGTTGTCCTCAGATGTGTGCAGGAATTGAATGTGACAACACGCATTTTGGCTGTTTGTAGGTGATGAGGTGCTTCAGTGGAATGGTAAATCATTACCTGGGTTAACCAAGAAAGAAGTTTACAATATCATCTTGAATTCCCAAACAGAACCACGAGTTGAGTTAATAGTATCAAGGCCAATAGGGTAAGTCGTCCTTCACACACCTTACTGGAAATCTGACTCTCGGTTAACTAAAGGCAAAGCAGCAAAACCATTTTTAAAGGGGTCATTGCTTGCATTTTGTAAATTATTTTATAATGTTTCCTGGGGTGCACTTATAATCTTAGTCTGGTTTTGTCTACAAAAATGGTCATAATTTAAATACAATAGGTTATTTCTATTTTTATATTCTGTTTCTTGAGGTTAGTTTATAAAGTTAGCAAAGATTTAGTCTTTCTTTACCTAACAGAAGCATCATTGATGTATCATTATATTCATTATGACAGACATGAGTTGTTCATAACACACCTCCTCGGATTACATACAGTGATGACTCATATAGAGGTGAATTGTGACATCACGATTCTCCTGATTTCAAATCCTGGGGTTTTAGTAGTATTTTAGTAATTTAAAAATTTAGTAGTAGTAAATTAGTAGTATTCTAGTATTTTAAAATGGGGAGTTAGTTTTGAAAATTGCATTTTTTTATTGTAGATTAACCTCTTATGTGCAAATATCAAGAACATTTTGATTCTCCATTTCATGACCCCTTAAAGTGTTTATTCTAGTTGAACCAATTATTAAACAAGAGTGTTTGAAGTGTCTACAGGCAGTTGAATAGCTGTGCAATAGATGTTTAACTTTGTATTGTGTTTAGTTCTCACTGTAAGCCATTAAACTCTCCTTTGCTCTGTCCTCCCACTTCTTTAAAAAGATGTATTCATTGATTTCTCTCCAAATACTTGCAAAAGGGTGTATAAATCTTAGCTGCAAGTAAAACACAGTCTAAAGAGGTGCTGTGATTTATTTTTTATTTTTTTTGGACCTCATCTCTGAATTCTCTCTTCATTTGCTTCTGTCTTCTGTCCCTAAAGCCCTTATAAAGAGCTTGTGATGCACTGTAACCTCTGGCTGATGATGTTTGACTTGAAAATATTAGTCAGTGTCCAGAATATTTGGACACCTAAATTGCACATAAATGTCTGCTAAAAATTATATTAGAGCTTTTCTGAAAACAAACTTGTCAAATATTTTAAACAATTTATCGAACATTTTATCATTTCAATCCTAACAAATGTCAAAGACATGTTTGTGCTATATTGCTTCAAAATAAATGACACTATATATGATATTTTGTTGTATAATACAAAAATATTCATACATTATATATGGCTTAAATGCCCAAATACACTAACATTCAAATGTTTAGAGTAAGTTTTTTTTTTGTATTAATTAATTAAATTTTTTTTTTTTTTACAAAAATAAATGAATACTTTTATTCAGCAAGGATGCATTAAATAGATCAGAAGTGGATATAAAGACATTTATTATGCTAAAATAAATGCTGTTCTTTTGAACTTTATATTCTTCAAAGAATCCTGAAAAAAGTGTATAATGGTTCCCACAGAAAATATTAAGCAGCAGAACTGTTTTCAATATTAATAATATTAAATATTTCCTGAGCACTAAATCAGCATATTACAATGATTTCTACAGAATAATATGACACTGATAAATGGCAGCTGAAAATGTAACTTTTCAATCAAATAAATAAATTACATTTTAAAACATGTTTAAATAGACACAGTTATTTTAAAATATTATAATATTTACAATATTATTACTTTTTTACTGTATTTTCTATAAATAAATGCAGCCTTGGTGAGCATAAGAGACTTATTTTATAAACATCTTACCGACCCAAACTTTTGAATAGTAGTGTACTTGACAACAAATGTATGGATTTGTTTTTTTGTTTTTTTCAGTGATATACCACGAATACCAGAAACATCACACCCTCCATTAGAATCTAGTACGTACTGAATTAAATGATTCATGAATCAACTGTGAACTATCAAAATAATGATTTTTTTTATATGCAAACATTATTCTGATGTTTTCAACAACTGTTTTTTCTTGTCCCTCTGCAGCAGGTTCAAGTTCCTTCGAATCACAGAAGATGGAAAGACCCTCTATATCTGTCTTGTCCCCATCCAGCCCAAGTGGTCTTAGAGATGCCCCTCAGCTACTGCCTGGACAGCTGTCGGTCAGTGCATACTTAAGTATGTACATTCACAATGTTGTGCTTAGAGTGTTTGTTTATTCGCTGTTTATGTATTTATGTCTTGCAGGTGAAAATGTGGTACGATAAGGTTGGCCATCAGCTGATAGTGAACGTATTGCAGGCTATAGACCTGACACCCAGATCAGATGGACGACCCAGAAACCCCTATGTCAAAATGTACTTCCTGCCCGATAGAAGGTATATTAGATGTTTCCTGTGGGGTTAGTTTTAGTGTCAAGCAATTTGGTATTGTATCGACTACAGACATTTTTTTTTTTACTGTGACAACCCTGTACTCTACTGGAGACTAGGGAATGGCATTAAATGGCATTAAATTGCATTATATTGATCAAAAGTGACAGTAAAGACATTTAGTGTTACAAAAGATACATATTTCAAATAAATTCTATTTTAATTTTTTTTTCTATTCATCAAAAAAAAAAATCCTGAAAAAGATTCAACAAAATTATTAAGCAACACAACTGCTTTCATTAATAATAAAATAAGAAATGTTTCTTGAGCAGAAAATATAAGTGTAAAACAATTTATGAAGGATCATGTGACACTGAATCTGGACTAATGCCTACTGAAAATTCAGCTTCGCTATTACATGTGAAATCATATTTTAAAATATATTAAAATAGCAATTAGTTTTTAGCAATATATATTTCACATTGCAATAATATTTTGGAATATTACTATTTTTACTTTCTGTTTGATCAAATAAATGCTGCCTTGGTGAGACTTCAGAATACAAAAAATAAATAAATACAAATCTTTTTGAAGAAAACCATTAAAAAATTGTAGATCAAATTCTATTTTTTTTTGTGATATGTGCATCAAGCAGTTTTAATAGTTTGAATGTTCTTGTTGTAATATTATATGTGTTTTACTTTAGCGATAAGAGCAAGAGAAGGACGAAGACAGTAAAGAAAAGTCTAGAGCCCAAGTGGAACCAGACATTTGTGTACTCTCATGTCCATCGCCGGGATTTCAGAGAACACATGCTGGAGATTACTGTGTGGGACCAACCCCGAATACAAGATGAGGAGAGTGACTTTCTGGGAGAAGTATGAAGCATATGTTAACTTTGTCCATTTATTTGCAGCATGAATTTTTCTCTGAAAACATTTGTACAGTATCACACCTGACTGTCTGCGGTTTCTCCTCTCTTTGAACCTAGATCTTAATCGAGCTGGAGACTGCCCTGCTGGATGACAAGCCTCACTGGTACAAGCTGCAGACACATGACGTCTCTTCCATCCCACTGCCGCACCCGTCGCCATACCTGCCCCGCAGACACGGACACACAGAAACACCCACCAAAAAGCTGCAGCGTAAGTGGAAGGCCTCACAGTGGGGATGTGATCTGAAAGTGTTGAATCACTTTGTGTTCAAGTGCTTTTTCTCTTACAGGGAGGAAATGAGTAAGAATGATTTTAATTTCATCTGTCAATCCTGCTGTTTATTTGCAAGCGTTGTGAGCTATCAGCAACTGGATATGTGTCCAATTAAAAAACTCTTCTCCATCACTTGATCTTAATTTGAAAAATTTCTGCTGCCGTGATCAATAGAAAATGTACACAAATATTTGTACCATGAATAGTAATAGTTCATTTGCCTAATTTGCATACAAAGTAGGTGCGAATTATGGTTGTCTAATTTAAATATGCTTGTTGCAGCACTATATCAGCAATTTATAATAATATTCAAAAGTTTGGGGTCAATGAGATGTTTGTTAAAGAAGTCTTGTATGTGTACAAATGCTGCATTTGCTTGATGAAAAATACAGTAAAAACAGTAATATTGTGAAATATTATTACAGTTTAAAATCACTATTTTCTATCTTAATATATTTTAAAATGTAATTTATTCCAGTGATGGCGAAAGCTAAATTTTCAGTATCATTACTCCAGTTTTTGTGTCACGTGATCCTTCAGAAAGCATTCAAATATGCTGATTTTGTGCTTAATATTAGTTTGGCTGATTTGGTGCTGGATTCTTTTTTTTCAGGATTCTTTAATGAATAGAAAGTTGCTAGCTGAATAAAAGTATTAATTTAAAACAAAAATCTTATTAAACCCACACTCTTGAACAGTAGTGTACACTCTGCTCAGTAGCATGTTTAAGCCCCCCAGTGACTGCTTTCTTAGAGCCTCCAAAACTCTAAACAAGTCCCTGATTTTGCTTAAGTGTGAGCAGTATATGAATAAGAGTTTTGCGCTGAAATACTGCTCAATTGTGAGGCATAATCGTTTAGTGAATTCGCCCCCTCAGTGTTTCACAGATTTACCAAAAGCTGAAGAGGTTGTGGGCAGTTCGATTAAAATAGATGAAATATTCCTTCTCTTTCTAAGATGTTAAGTCAAGCCAGAGATATTATCATAATTTCACCATTACTAAACTATATACAAGTAGGTGAAGGACAATCATCAAACATTAGTTAAAAATCTTTTAGGTCAAGGTCCTGGAATACATCCAGTCTCATTAATATGTTTGGCATTGTCTTGCAATAGTCAAGGTTTTTCATGTCTGTTTTGTCTGTACGTTCATGCGGAGGTATGTTTTTGAACCGTGCTGCCTGTGAGTTCGTGTGTAGGAGTGTGGCCCATGGGTACAGTGTATTCACAAGACATATTTTAGTATGCTGTTTTATTGCTTGCCTAACAATGGATTATTCCAACAGTGCTTTGTGTGCATTCGTTTATGTCTGTATCTCCGTGTCTGTCTGTACATCTATCCCTGTGTGTATATCTGTATCTGTGTGTGCAGGCTCGCAGCGTATTACAGAAACTGATTATGATGATGGTATTGGTGTAGTCGCCACAGGTGGGTGGGAGGGGCCAAGGCAATGCCAACCTTGGCACTTCTCTGTACTTTGTGCATTAGAGTACCCCAAAAGAGAGAAGCAACCAATAGCAGGCCTTCCCTTCCTTCGGAAGTCACTGCTGTTGTGCTGGAGACAATGCACCGATCACCGATCATGACACATCTGGCATGTTTCATTCATCCCATACTAATAAATAACTACTTTGTACTATTATGCACTAAAATGAATATAAAGTGGTGCTTCTTCTAAATTGGGGAGACACTTACTATCTGAAATGTGTTCTGTCTCCAGTGCTTTTCTCTGTAGTATAGTAGTTTAGACTTGCAGAATAATGCACACTATCACACATGCATGATCGCAATGGGAAACTGAGGGAAAAGAAATTGTAAACGGGAGGACTGCTTCCTCTTGGTAGTGCTACACATTTTATTTTGCTTCTGCATGGAAGAAGTTAGAAAATGACACGTCTTTGTGTTACAATGCCTTTGTGACATACCTTGACTTCATTCTCCAAACAATATAGGCATACTGCAATTGTAAAAATAGTGGATATAGTTTTATAGGGCAGTGTTTTTTGTTTGTTTGATTGTTTTGTTTTTTATGAACCCCTTTGAATTTTTTAAAAGTTACATTTACATTTTTTTGGACAAAATATTATTACTATGAGTTTAGCAATGAAGTTATATTTATTAGTGGTTTTATTGGAAAAATAACTGGCGAGAAAAACAATTTCTGTTGAAAAAACATACAAACAGAACTCCATGAATTTTTCAGTTTTCAATGCTTTGCTATTTAATGAAGAAGTACATTCTTTGAAAGTGAATGTTTTGCCACTAAGCCAAGATTGTTCTGTTATGTTCTGCTTTGTTGTAAAAATATGTAAAAATGTAATTGTAGAAAACAAATTATTAAATAACCAAAAATAGAAAAATAAATATATATATTTAAAATTTTTGATTTGACTGTTTTGACTGGTAGTGCGTGTGTGTGTGCTTCCAACTGTCAAAAGCACACATTGTTCACACGAGAATGAACAAGGTATTTTAATTATCTGGCATGTTTTGTTAGATATGGTCTAACATATTATGTCAATCATTTTATTTTTTGGATGGGTTCTAACATGGGGAATGTGGTTTGGCAAGGTCAGTGACTGCATGAGCAAAATCTGAATTTTCCAGACAAGCTTTCCAAAAATGTGTCTTTAATTTTTTTTTTTGTCTTTGTGTCATCACAGCTACAGAAAACCGATCAAGAGAAAGAGAACGGGACAGAGACCGAGACCGAGCAACGACATTAGAGGTTCCAGACCAGATCAGGCCAACTCAGTATCGCTCACGGTCCGTGTCCCCACACAGAGACGAAGAGAGCAGGGGACGGTCCCGCCCAGCCAACATCCCTGCACAGAGGTACATCCCTACCTATTGTTAGGATTTATCATTTGCCAAATAATTGTAACCTGCATTAAAACCCTGGTTTCTCTCTGTCTTTCTCTCTAAGGAGTCTGGATGAGGTCCAGCACAGCCGGCGATCTCGTTCCCCAACACGCTACCACGATCGTGCCCGTGTGCAAGAGAGAGATTGCGTAGATGACAGGTAAATAGAAATGTGCGGGCCCAAGCGAGTGTATACAAGTGTGCCTTATTGTGAATAATCACTTCCATGTGCCTTCATTTACTTCCATAAAAATACTGTTTCTGGAACACCATTAAAATGAGTTTTTGGAAAGAGAAATGACGTTTTCGAGACTTGCTAATCTACAAAGGACTTGCACCATTTTCAGAAGGTGGGTTAAAGCCAAGCCACATGTGACTGAGTGTTTTTGAAAGGATTGAACGCCACTGAAGGGTTTGTATGGACAGAGATGATCGTACAGGAAGACACATCTTTTTAACCTTTGTGTATTGGCTTTAAAGGTTGTTACCCTTCCTCTTCTAACTCACTTACTGGTGCCCATTTTTTCTTTTATGTTTGCTTGTTTATTGGTCTGTTTTTTTGTTTATTTTCCTATGTGTCCTCCATCTCCATGGTAATTGCAGTGAAGTCATCTTGATACACAGATCAATGCGGGGTAGAAGCGCAGAGTGTCTGCACACCCAAAGGTAAAGAAAAGGCCAGAATTGAACCACCAATCTGTAAATTATACTATTGTTGTATTCAGATTACTGTGTAAATCAATATTACTATCTTGGTGTCATAAGAACTGGTAATATAATTTTCATTCTGAAAAGACTCCTTGTGCCGGTTTCTTTCGCCTAGCCTGAAGTTTATTCTATTGAATTAAAACAGCTCTGAACGTTGATGCCAGTTTCTCTCTCTCGAACGCTTCTTGTCAAACTCTTCGCCTCTCCACTCTAATATTTCAGAGCAGCTCGTTGACAAGAAACATTACAAGCGGAACTTTCCACTTGCTTTTGGCATACAGCCTAAAAGACGAACACCTCGTCACGACAACCGTTTGCTTTCTGAAAATAACAATCTCATTTTGCTCAAGTGTCATTTTGACACGTTTATTTTTATTCTGTTCATTACTGACCTCGATTCAATTCTGATCGTGTTTGACATGAAAAAAAGATGATCTAGAATGAGAGGAGTTGCCTCTGGAGTGATCTTTGCATGTTTGCGTGTGTGGCCTTTGACATTATTTTGCTGTTTGAGTGGACTAACCACAGCTGTGATTTTGATACATCTTTTGTTTCCATCTTGCATGCTTGCATGTCAATGCAGTGTTGGCAGGAGCTCATCTAAGTACAGTAGCACTCTGCCTCCCAAGATTCCTTTATTAGTCAATGGAATTCATAAGGATATTTACAGGTAAGGCGGCCAAAAACGAACACTTAAGCCATGGCATCCTTTCTGACTAATGAGGATTTTATAGCATCTGTGACACTCAAAATCACTCAGATCTCCAGAGCGCTTTTATTATGGATTAGCTAATGCAATATACAGAATGCTGGTGCATATATTTTTTTATCATTGTCAAAGTCTGACACAGTATTTTTTCACAAAAAAAAACATTAAACTTGATGTGCATGATAATGTTGTAAATTTACTGTTAATAGGGAGAGTAATAATATTGGTTCCCCTTGAAGTGCCCTTAATTGTATTGAATGTGCACTTGTACTTAAAACCTTAAAAGTATATTTAAAAAATTGACTTGTAATACTTTTAATATATATATATATATATACTTTTAAATGATCATATAATAATTAAAGGCCCGTTAATTGTACTTAAAGAGAGTACAATTTTTTATTTTTTTTTAAAACATGCTTAAGTACACTGTTAAAAATTATAGCCTACTTGTCATATTAAAAGTTTTACTTTTGAAGTAAATTTTAAATCATTGTTTTAATAATAATTTGTCGTGACTTAAAGAAGTACACTTATTTTGCTGTAACATACTAAAGCACTTGTGAAGTAGATGACTAATTTTAACTGTGTTATTAGATATTACATTTAAAGTTGATATATTTTAAATTTACTAGATTTCAACTTTTATATATTTAAATACATGACATACAAATGACATAGAAATGACTGAGTTTATTTTAGTTTTCCATAAATGCTTGTCAGTACATTCAGCTGTGCACTTGACCAGATTTCAAAGACAACAGAAGTGCTTAAAACATTCCATATAAATATGTACTTCAGTCTTATTTAAGTGGGTTAAATAAGCACTCTAAAGTTTGGCTAACTGCATTTAATATAAATTTAAACTATAACACAATGCCATAATTTTGGTCACACCTTATATCTATTAACAAACCATTAACCATGACTTTTGCCTCAGTAAACTCCTGATTTGCTGCTTATTAATAGTTAGTAAGGTAGTTGTTAAGTTTAGGTATTGGGTAATATTAGGGATGTAGAAAAAATGCTTTATAAGTGCTAATAAACAACCAATATGTTAATAATAGTCATGCTAATAAGCAACTAGTTAATAGTGAGAATTGGTCCCTATACTGAAGTGTTACCATAATTTTTAATTTAATTGCAGTTAAAGTGCAATTAAACTAAAGTTCACACTTAAGTATGTTCTTTTGAAAGATTATTATTTCTGGTATAAGTATGCTAAAGTGTGCTGCTTTTTCACAAGGGTCCATAAAAACAGCACATTTGTATTTTCAACATCATCATCATATGAAATATGCAAACACGTAGTGTAGTATTGTAGTCATTGAGCTGGAGATTGAAATACAGACAATCCTGTTGGAATCTGCCACTGTTAGATGTTAAGATGGTAAGTAAATGTGAGTGCTTTCTATCTGACTGTGGTGTTCTGGTTTCTGTGGATGTTTAAAGTAACATCTGTCATTTAAAAGAGACAATTTATTTGAAGAGTTAGAGAGTAAATCAGTGTTGGCTATAAACATCTTGTGGCATGTCCTAACCAGGCGCGATGGGACAAGCTATTTGTCTGTCTAAAGTAGGTCCATAATTCCTGGGGAAAGCTATCCTTTAGCATTCCCTTTGGTTGGGACACAGTGTTAAACATCCAACAGGTCTCCACAGAAAACATGGTCATGTGATTATATTTTATAATGTTTTTTTTTTCTTTTTCTGTAACTTATGTTTGCTTTTGTTTGCACTTGTTGGACTTTCGTTTGTGTTTAAAAGCTTAACACTTCCTGCATGCCTTAAGTCAAAGTCACGGCTGTCTGTAGTCACTGTCACTCAACCTACAGTCACGCGTCGAGTTCTTAGGTTCACAGACAAGATCACCATTAGGTAAGGGGTTGAACATGTCAACCCTAAACCCAATTATATATATATATATATAAAAACATCAAACAGCTCCCAAGAGCCAGCAGCTCCTCATTCAGAATGTTAGCAGAAAATTCAACCATTATCTCACTCACCACATTTTAGCAGCTCTCTTGGCTTACCTCCGCTTACAGGTTTGCTTTTCATTTTATTTTAGACCTAACTTTTTTTGTTCTTTGTCATCTTCCTTTTTTCCTCCTCCTTTCTCCATTGGATGGCATGTTGTGACCCTAGTGATCTACAGCCCTCTCTTGACAGGGTTAGAAGTGCTAGTACCAACTGTCTGAGACCAGGTTCTAATTCCAATTCACCTGAACGAGACAGGTACACTCTTTATTTTGAATTGGATTATTTCAGTTTTGTGAATTTGTCATTAATATCATTCACATACATTAAAGGACACTCTTAGAATGTTCCTTTGTGATGCCCTTTAAACACAACAATCACTGGGTCTTATTCACTAATGTGCATATACACACATATTGTTTTGCTTAAAAGCTGTGTGCAAAGACAGAAATCTTCATTTTTTTGGAAAGTTTTTTTAAATTTGTATTTAGGATAAATTTTTTAACAAACTAAAACCACATACAAATCCTAGTTGCATTAGAGTCATTATATTAGCTAAGTAAAATTTTGGTCACACTTTATTTTAAAGTCTGATTCACGCAATTAACAAACCATTAACCACAAATTTTGCCTCAATAAACTCCTAATTTGCTGAATATTAATAGTTAGTAAGGTAGTTGTTAAGTTTAGGTATTGGGTAGTATTAAGGATGTAGAATATGGTCATGCAGAATATGTGCTTTATATGTACTAATAAACAGCCAATATGTTAATAAGAAGCATGCTAATAACCAATTAGTTAATAGTGAGAATTGGTCCCTATACGAAAGTGTTACCTAAATGTTTATATAAATACATTTTATACATTTAAAAAGGCTGGGGTCGTTAAGATTTTTTATGTTTTTAAATATCTTAAGCTCACAAAAGCTGCATTTATTTAATTAAAAATATTACAATTTAAAATAACTGTTTTCTATTTAAATATATTTTAAATGGTAATTTATTCTTGTGATGGCAAAGCTGAATTTTCAGCATCACTACTCCAGTCTTCAGTATCACACGATCCTTCAGATCCTATGCTGATTCTTTTAATGATCAATGTTGGAAACAGTTGAGCTGCTTAATATTTTTGTAAGAACTGAGATACTTTTTTTAAGGATCCTTTGATAAATAGAAAGTTGATAAGAACAACATAATATGGTGACAAAAACAACATAAATAATGGTGACTTGACTTATTTATTTTGCCATGTTCTAAAAAGGTTTGTGAGATTGTGTGGAAGAAGAATTATTGTAATTATGCTAATCACTAACTGCAAGCAGATTCATTAGCTTTTAGTAAATTTGTCAAATTTAGCGTGGTAACCTTTTCTGAGGACATACTGTAAAATAAGAACACTTGCAGTATATGCAAGTATTAGTAAATAAAACCCAGTGTGTCTACGTTAATGTTAATGTCAAAGTAACATACTACCATTAGGTCACCCACTTTGCACTGCTCTGTTAGCATGCAATGACTCTTATGGCCTGACAGTTCTTTTTTGCGTCTTTGATAGGGAGCATATATCCAACCACTGTAGCTGGAGAAGTGTCAAAAATGAGTCCCCTGAATCTGTGCATCTTCTTATATGTTTGACATGACCGTTGTCACAGTCTCTGTATTGACTTCCCATGTTTCTTCCATCTCCACTTTCAACTCTTTGGGTGTTTGTGGATCACACACGCACACACTCACACAGGAGCACCCAGTCTCTGCCCCGTACCAGACCCACGAGCCCCAGGATCCTAATTCAGCATGCCTCCCCAGAAGACGACAGGTATCCCTCCTGTCCTCCAGTCCTATTGCTAAACCTCTCTGCTCTTCTAACCTGTCCGTCCCCCCTCTGCCATGGGACTAGATAGTGGATGTAGCTAACCATCCAGCCTTCTGTAGCTTCTGACCCATAGCTTGCTGTGACCCGACCCCATAATTTTAATGCTCTACAATCTGATCGCTAGTGTGTTTTGTAGATTTTCAGCAGCTTAGTAGCTTTAAAAATGTGGTGACTTGTGGCTTTTGTGCTGTGATCTGTAGTGTGTTGTGTTACTCTGGATTTCATGAGGTTGTATTTTAGTCCTTTTTATCTAAACTTCTTTATTCTGTTGATACTATCTTCTAAAGCTTTCACAGATTTATCCAACAGTTTTTGTCGTTTAGATACAGTATCCTAATTCAGCATGCCTCCCCAGAAGACGACAGGTATCCCTCCTGTCCTCCAGTCCTATTGCTAAACCTCTCTGCTCTTCTAACCTGTCCGTCCCCCCTCTGCCATGGGACTAGATAGTGGATGTAGCTAACCATCCAGCCTTCTGTAGCTTCTGACCCATAGCTTGCTGTGACCCGACCCCATAATTTTAATGCTCTACAATCTGATCGCTAGTGTGTTTTGTAGATTTAAAAATGTGGTGACTTGTGGCTTTTGTGCTGTGATCTGTAGTGTGTTGTGTTACTCTGGGTTTCATGAGGTTGTATTTTAGTCCTTTTTATCTAAACTTCTTTATTCTGTTGATACTATCTTCTAAAGCTTTCACAGATTTATCCAACAGTTTTTGTCGTTTAGATACAGTCTCTCACTTAACAGTGGCCCCAAAAATATGTTAACACTTAAAAATGTATGAATATCTTTGCATTGTATAACAAAATATCAAACCAACTGAGATATAATTTGAAGTTATAATACCACAAGCACACTTTTCAGGCAAAACATTTCACACAGATCAGTAAAATGATTGGTTTGCAGATGCAAATGCTGTGATATTCAGACGTTTTAAGTGTCCAAATACGTTTTTGGGGCACTGCATGTGTCTTCACTTATTTTTCTCCGTATTCAACTGAAATTGTAATGATTTCAGAGGTTTCGGGTATGAACGTCACATATGTCATATGTGTGACCCCTGACGCATAAGAGTCAAGTGTCTGTGTTCCATATCATGCACAGTTTGTCTCGTATATGTCTTAATTACTGTACATGTTATTGTATATTTTAGCCACTTAACCAAAGTGTAATGAAATTATGTTTCATTAACATCAGCCCATACTGTGTCATTGTGTGTCTATGTGTCCATGCCACTCATATGTGTTTGACCTGATCTTATGAATCAGCTGGGTTTTGGAGGCTATGTTCCCCGCTCAGGAGACAGTACACCACCTCAGTGCAAAGCCAGACGCACAGAGGTACACACACACAGGAAGAGCTCTAGTGCACATATACCAGTAACATGTCCAACTCCATCGTGGCATTTTATTAGACAGGAGTTTCATTTAATGTCCATCCAGTCCTTAGTGAATCCACTCCTCATTCTTTTATTTTTTTGTCTCGCCTCGATCATTTCCATGTTGCAGGCAGTCGAGAACTCTGGACAAGCCTAGCTGTCAGAAACTTGGAAAGAAAATATCTGACAGCGAGCGGTAAGACTTATCAAACCATGTAATTTCACGTCACATTTGCATTGCCTGTTGATTGTACCCTAAGTCCTGTGTGTCCATACAGTACCCGTTTTAGACACAAATCACACTTGTTTCACTCTGGATAAAGCTTCTAGATTGGATTTGTATAGTGTTTTTATTAAATTATGAAACATTTTTGTTCAGTTGTTCCTGACCATTTCTATATTTTATAAATGGGCCCAACATGAAAACATTGCCAAAGCTCCAAGTGTAAGTAAAAATGTACTTTCATGAGTAAATACATTGGTTTAATAAAATAGTTAATCACCAGTTTCTCGTAATTTGTTTTAATAAATGTTTTTTTGCTCAGTGATGGAGACTAATTCATCATAAATAACAAAAAGACCTATAGAAAAATAGGAAATATAGAAAAATATATTTTTAAATAAAAATAATTAATGGCTGGGAAGAAAATTTATGGCCAGTACATTTTCTCAAATCACCCATTATTAGAAGTTATGGCAAATATTACATTTGGACCTTGTTATACACTCTTAAAAATAAAGGTGCTTCACGATGCCATAGAAAAACCTTTTTGTCTAAATGGTTCCATAAAGAACCTTTAACATCTGAAGAACCTTTCTGTTTCACAAAAGGTTCTTTGTTGGCGAAAGAAGGTTCTTCAGATTATAAAAAGGTAAGAAAGAGATGGTTCTTTAAAGAGCCTTTGACTGAATGGTTCTTTGTGGAACCAAAAATGGCTCTTTTATGGCATCGCTTGAAGAACCTTTTAAAGCACCTTTATTTTTAAGAGTGTATACTATATAGTTTTAGTATATTATACTGTATAATACACTGTGTACTGTATATATTTTTAAATGGGTTATTGAACTTTTACAGGGAAATGCTGCACTGGCTTCATCCACAAACATATTTGTTTCTTCACACATTCACATTTTATTTCTCTGTCTATTTTTGCAAATACTTTGTTGGCTTTTTCTCCATTTTTTCCCCTTCGGTTTATCACATTTATTTTATTTTTCCTTTGTTCCTTTATTCTGTCTTGTATGTTGCTATTCGCACTGGCCTGCAGCATTCAGCCAACCTCCATTCTAAAGGGCTTGCGCAGGAAGAAGGTATCGTTGCCTCCATTGGGTAAGGTGACCGGTGAGGTGGTCAACCCCAGGCTCACCCCAAATGGAAAGGTGCCGACCCTGATCTGGGCTGAGAAGCCTTGCTGTGCCTAACCCATCCTACACAAAAAGGCTTGTCATTGCTATAATCTCTGCTGCTTTTGCTCTTTTCTCTCAGATGTTTTGTGTGGTTGCTGCTTTTCATACTGACAATCCACCCGTCCTCATCACCTACCCACAGCTTTCTGTGTTTACCGCTCTTTCACAGTTTAATGCTATTTTGTTCACTGGTTTCACACCTGCCACTCTTGTACTTGTTTTGCTTTCCTAATGGCTCTTAGCAATAATACATATCTGATGTGATTAATAATGTACCCCGAGTATGCAGACATGGGTCCGATTAAGATATGGTGGTCTTTTAGTGAAAATGTGTAGTACTTCTTGATGCTGTTTGTTCAAACAGTAGTTTGCACTTTGGTTCACACTGGTTTACGATATTGATGGCCTTTGTACTAGATAAAATCATAAGATAAAGTTTCCATCACTCTTTTTTTTTCTCTCTCTCTCTCTCTCTCTCTCTCTCTCTCTCTCTCTCTCTCTCATTTTGTCAGGGTGCAGCCACACTCCAGCCCCGCATTTTCCTCATCAACAGCAGCCCCTTCTTCGACACGCAAGGTCAGGCAGCTTCCCCAAGTCCCCGCCAAAAGCAGCAGTGTAGAGCAAGGTACAGTCATTGTCTGCTGACTTGTACTGGTTACTTTTCCAAATGTTCTTTGAGTAAATATGCAAAATGTGAAATGATGAGCATCATATTGTTGTATATCATTGTATGTATTAGCTCTTGCTTCAGAGGAGCGAACTCGGCAAATGAAAGTACGTACCTTCCGAACACCAGCTCCCTCCAGTACCAGCCACGATCTGGAGAGGATGCTCAAGAATAAAAGAGAGGTGAGTGCCGTTTGTTCTCTCTCAGATTAGAATTCATATACACTACCATTCAAAAGTTTTGGGGTCAGTATGATTTTTTTTGAGAGAGAGAGGAGTGTTGTAAGCTCAACAAGGCTGCATTTATTTGATCAAGAATACAGTAACAATACATTTTGTTTTAATATTACAATTTTAAATAATTAAAATCTTCTAATTTTAATATATTTTAGAATGTAATTTATTCCTGTGATGGCAAATCTGAATTTTCTGCAGCTATTACTCCAGTCTTCAGTGTCACATGATCCTTCAGAAATCATTCTGATATGCTTATTTGGTGCTCATGAAACAGTTGTGCTGCCTATTTTGGTGGAAACCATGATACATTTTTTTCAGGATTCTTTGATGAATATAAAGTTCAGAAGAACAGCATTTATTTGACATATAATTCTTTTGTAACATAAATGTCTTTACGGTCACTTTTGATCAATTTAATGCATCCTTGCTGAATTAAAGTATTGGTAAAAAAGTAACCTATAAAATTGCACTGACCGAAAACCTTTTGAACGGTAGAGTATTATCCCATCCAAACTCATTCAAACAGTTTTTCGAATCTAGAATGCTCATTTGTTTTTAGTTCAAATTATGTATGCATTAATTTTTTTGTGCATTTCATTCCACTAGCTTTATAAGGAGCAGCGACAGAGCTGTGACAATGTGTCCCATAAGTCCTCAGACAGTGATGTCAGTGACGTGTCAGCCATCTCTCGTGCCAGCAGTGCCTCGCGGATCAGTAGCACCAGCTACATGTCCATTCAATCAGAACGACCCAGGGGTCAATTTAGGTGAGATGCATGGTGTAGCATCACTCTGGACTGTTGGATTAGATTTGTGAATTGTAATAATATATTGATTGTCACTTTTTAGTTTTATTACCTCTATGTTGGGGCTTTATTTAACATGGGTAAAAATCTGTTAAAAAATTCCTTGTACTTCTGTTAAGAATGTTCTATGGAGTGCATATTAGTGGTAATAAGGGTCAATAACAATAGATATAATCAAGAGACTTATAAAACCACAGATGTATCTTTATAGTGCCTCTATTTCTACAATAAAGAGGCCATTTTCAACATATTTACAGCATTTTCCCCCTTGAAGTCCACTTATAATTGTTTTCTTGCACAAACAGTTGCAAATTAGTTTTAGACAATCATTTTCCACCTTCTTTCTCTCATTTTTGCTGTAGTACTGAATAAATGTTTTCTTATAAACGTGCTGATCAATAGTTAATGTAAACATAATGGTTACTTTCCATACATTTGTGTTGTAAACATGGAGTATTACACTTCTGTTAAAAGGTTTGGGGTTAGTAAGATTTTAGTTTTTTAAAGAAATTAATATATTTCTGCAAGGATGCATAAATTAATGAAAAAAGATTTTATATTTTTTTGTAATACTTTAAAAACTTGTTTCAAACAAATTCTGTTTTAAATTGTAAAAATGTATGACTAGTTATGTTTTTGCTGTATTTAAAAAAAACACAACAACCCTAAACTTTTGAACAGTAGTGTACATTGTAAATCAAACACTTTTTTAATCAAAATAGCAAAGACAAAATCTGTTTTCCATTATCCCTTTAAATGATTCTCAGTCTCAGTCTTTTCCATGATAGCGTCATTCTCAGATTTTTATGATTTTTGGTAAACTCATGTTGAGGGAAGTGAAAAAAAGCAGAAAGAGCGCACACAGTAATCAAATGCAGAGGGTCGTATTAACGTCAGAATAGTAATTTTCCATTTGTCATTTGGGTTACTAAGAGTCTTCGCTATTTTTCTCCCCACACCAGCCGTCATATTCATCCATCCAGCCGCAGCATGCTGAAGAGCACGAGCGTTAGTGGGGAAATCTACACTCTGGAGCGTACGGATGGCAGTCAGTCAGACACCGCTCTGGGAACACTGGGAGCAGGAGGGAAAAAGCGCAGATCGAGCCTTAGCGCACGTGTAGTCGCCATCGTGGGTATTCCCTCCCGCCGCAGCAGGAGCACCTCTCAGCTCAGTCAGACAGGTCAGACACTTCCAGCCGATCATATACTCGCACCTTGTCAATTCCTTGGTGTTTTTTCAGTTAAAAGCTCAGATTTCTATGCAACAATGGCATATAGCTTGGACGATTATATATATCAAGTATTGTACCTAATAAAATAAAGTATTTGAATCCAAGACATGCTGCTCGCTGCTTCACATATCATTTGGGGCCTTTGACGAGGCCTTCTGTCCCATTAAAACTCATTGTTTAGATATTACTGTCTGCTAAAGTCGCATCGTTTCCTAATCCTACAGTGGCAAGGATAAACCTTTAAAAAATTATGTTTTAAGTGTAACTTTTATACTCTTTTAAACACCAGAGAAGAGATACAGGATGCCGAGTTTCATTGGCTCAGTTAGTGTAGCCTGAGGTGCCCTCTACTGGTCTAGAAGCTAAAATCAGTAATTATTATGGCCAAAAATGCTTTAGTAACAATAAAAGATATTTAATGAAATTACATTAGTGTCATCCAGGCCAAAAGCAGAAGGGAATCGTCACCAAAATGGAGACTGACAAGTTATAATAAGCAATTTCTTTAAAACGGTCCTTTCCATTAGTTCAGACCATTTGCCAAGACTGTTGGATGTTTTTTTTAGTCTTCCTGCTTTACTTGGATTGCTATCTCTTATCAGTGTTTCCTCTTTTTCCGGGGTCATCCTTGTCTAGTGGATCTACGCATCAGGTCTCTCTACCCTGTTTCACTTCATAAAGTAGCATGTGTCTTCAGTGTGTGTTAAAGTGTGGAAGCTGAAACCTCAGGCTGGAAATATGAATGGCAGCATGTTAGCACTGGCAGAAGTTCATTGTGTCAGGTGCAGATCAACCCTGAATTCCTATCAGATGTAATGTACTGTAGATAAATGCCTTTGAAGTTGGATCTGATATCCTCGAAAAACTCATATTTTAAGCACTGTCTGTTTATAGTTTAATAAATGGACTGCTGAAAAAAGAAACAAATTCAAAAAGGATGGCAAAAGAAGTTTTTTTTGGCACTGCTGTCTGCCAAGCACCTGGATAATATCTTAAAAGGCCCATCAGATGATAAATCACAGAGCCGTTGTTCACTGACAAGCCGCGCAAAACATACGCAAAATATGATGGTGGTTTTGCGCAGCTTGTCAGTGAACAACGGCTCTGTGTAGTAAATGCTGCTCCATGTGAAAGCACGCACGTGATGGAGATTTACCGCTGATTACAGAACCAGCTTTAATGGCAAGGTTAATATATTGCATAAACATGAATTAACAGTATATTTACACTACCATTCAAAAGTATACTACATTTATTTAATTAAAATACAGTAAAAACTAATGTTTTAAATGGCAAATCTGAATTTTCAGCAGCCATTACACGATCCTTCAGAAATCATTCTAATATGCTGAGTTGGTGCTCAAGAAACATTTTTTGTTATCAATATTAAAAATGTTTGTGCTGCTTAATATTCTTAATGGATTAAAAATGATTTTTTAAATATATAAAATACAAATATTATTTTTGTTGACATATTTGAGGATTCTTCAATAAATAGATTCTTTTCAGGATTTATTTGAATGCTGTCTTACCCTGAAATTGGTGAACAGTAGTAACCTAGATTAATAAATGCTGTAAAAATTGTTGTTATTGTTAGTTGATTGTTCATTTGACCTAATAATGCATTAATTGATGTTAACAAATTTAACCTTTATACAAAATTGTACCTGGATTACTAACTGTATTAAAACATTATCCATTAAACTATTATTATTTTTAATAGTCAACACTGTTTTGTCAAAAAAAATCTTAACAGTGATACAGGCCAAAGATGACATTTATTATTTAAATAGTGGAATGACTAATGATGACGGTGACATTGACTGCATATGATAGCGATACCCAGTGTTCATATTATGCATTTAATTTATTTCGCAATAACCGCCAAATTCTGTTCTCTTATCTTGTGGATTGCCACAGAGCATGTGGTTTGGACACGAGCTGAACCTCAACACACAGATGATCTTGTATTGTATTCCGTAGATTAGTGCGGCTGTTTAGCATTAGCATCTTCAGTTATTTTCTGCTCTGAGTTTCCTCAAATAATATCAAAGGCATGCAAGTCTGTTAATGACAATCCTTGGACATTTTTTTTGTCTGTAAATTCTGTCAGAATAAGCCACTGATGGTGATTTGATGAAAGTGAACGCAATGAGTGAAGAGATAAATCTCTCTGCTACATTTTTTTACTCAAACAACTGGGATGACAGCACCTCTGTGAGCCACCTCAGTGGTTGACATTTTCAAAACATCTGTAATCCATCAAAAGGCCATAAATGGTACAGATGGTGCCCCATGACATCCAGCAGGAGATGTTACACTCACCAGGAGTGAAGAGCTTCGGATTAGATCGCAATATTTTCTCCTGAGTGAAGAACTTTCCAGTTGTAAGAATAGTACACAAACTTAAACACCTGGGCACACACACACCTGTCCCAACTTTTTTGGAATGTGTAGCTCTGATGAAATCCAAAATGAGCCAATATTTGACATGACATTTCAAAATGTCTCACTTTCAACATTTGATATGTTATCTATATTCTATTGTGAATAAAATATAAGTTTATGAGATTCGTAAATTATTCCATTCCTTTTTTACTCACAATTTGTACAGTGTCCCAACTTTTTTGGAATCGGGTTTGTAAAACCTTGCAAAAATCAAAGCAGCTATGTTCTTTTATTTTTATTTTTTTGTTTTAGACCTGCAATAATTCAAAAGAATCCTTCTTTATATTATCATTGTACTTATCTATTAATCATTAAAATTGTATTGTAAAACTGTTTTTCTTCTATCCACAGAAGCAGCCAACAAGAAAGCAAAGGGATCCAGTCAGATCCAGCGCAGTCAGGAGACGGGAATGGCAGTGGAGTATCCCCGCAATGTCATGGCTCGCCAAGCCAGTCGAGAGTCCACTGACGGCAGCATGAACAGTTACAGCTCTGAGGGCAAGTTAGTATCTAGAGCCCTTTTTTGCGTATACACAACTTTGCAGTTCTAAACCACAGATTTATATATCTGTTTGTTTTCTTCACAATTTTGCATACATTTTAAAGTTTATTAAAAGTGACAGTATGTTACAAAAGATTTATATTTCAAATAAATGTTGTTTTCATCAAAGGATCCTTAAAAATGATCACGGTTTCCAAAAATGTTGAATGGTAGCATACTGTGTGTATTATGTTGTATAATGTAACCCGTCCTAATTTCTGCTATTTTACCCGAAGCTGACCTGCTTCCCAGCTCACACTTCTTTAAAGGGGTCATATGATGTTGCTAAAAATAACGTTATTTGGTGTATTTGGTGTAATGAAATGTGTTTATGCGGTTTAAGGTTCAAAAAACACATTATTTTCCACATACTGTACATTATTGTTCCCATTCAGTCAGTCACGTTCAACGTTACGTCAGTGACTGACGAATTGGGATCTCGCCCGAGAGCCCAATCACCTTCGAGTGTTAACTAAACAAGCCAATGACAGTTGGCGTGCGTGTTTCGCCACGCGCACCACATACTGTACATTATTGTTTCTCCTCTATGCCCTGCCTTTCTGAAAACAAAGCTCATCGGTCTGAAAAGCGAGGTGTGCTTTGATTGGCCAGCTATCTAGTGCGTTGTGATTGGCCGAATACCTCAAGCGTGTGACGGAAATGTTACGCCCCTACCATACTGTGATGGCGTGTCCCGGCTGGAGCAACGAGACGACAACATTAAAACCCATTATAAACGAGGCATTTGTTGCATCCAGTGGGCACATAATTACGGATTATAATGACTTATACTGTTCTCAAGTGGCAGGCGGGCTTGAGAATGGCGCGGCCGGCGGGCTTGCGGCAACTACATGTGACGACCCCGGGCTGGACTCCGTTTCATCCGTACAGTGAAAGCCGATCCGACGATCCACAGCGCGAAGTTGATGTATTTCCTCAGCGACCAGCACGGATCAGCTCCAGGCATGACGAAGCAGATATCGTCCTCTTTTGGAAGACCAAACAAAGTAGTTTCGCTTTCACAACGAAACACACACGCGTCTTCACGACATGGCGGCAGCAACAATACTACAGCGAGAATAAAAGTTACACTTTCTTTCTTTGCGTGAACATTTGAGCGGTGTTATGCAAATCTTTCCACATCGTGACGTAGATGTGTGGGGGCGTGTTAGAACGAGCCGCTTTAGGTAGGCGTGGTTGACTCTTAACTTTTATAAAGAAGAGAAGAAAAAGAAAAGACTGAGACTTTAGTCTTTGCAACTTTACAGATCTTCTTTATGCACCAAGAGCTTGTAACACTTCAAAGAGAAAGGAATAATTGAAATCGCATCATATGACCCCTTTAAAATGTCTTGTCTTTGGTGTTTTTATGCATTCGCTGCAAACCCATCACTAATACATAAGTGGTCTCTCAGCAGGCTGTGTGTCATGTTCATATGAGCTTCTCTTCTAGATTTATTTGGAAAAACCATAAGGATAAGCTAATAGAAACATTCTGATTTACAGAGCTACTGTAATGCTGTGTCCACTACTTTCTCAGCTCCATTTTTGGAGCCAGATGGCAAGCGGTACTCCCCTATAATAATTAAAATATCCACCATCTTCAGAGAGGGGTCTTGGCAGGGTCTGTAGCTGCATAGAGAACAGCAGCTGCGCTTCCCTTTGTGGCTTCAGAGCAGCGTTTGGTCGCCGTGCCACTTCACAGAGTGTGACCGTGATTTAAGGCTTATTTCACGTGAACGTGTTTGAAATAATCTAAAAATCACACGAGGCTGTTTATATGGTAGCACGACACGGGCTGGCACGTCCCTCAGACATTCCTGCTGGAGTTAGGTCATGGAAATTGCGCTGGTCTCAAAGGAATTTTTGAGTGTATTAAGAGGGGCCTTAACGCAGGACAGGGTTTACATGCCATACACAGCGCAAGTCTGCTGCTGGAGGAGACGGGCTGCATTTCACAAGCTTTTGAACTCTATATGAGGGCAGTAGGCTCATTCTGGAATAAGCCTACTTAGATTTCATCCAAATAAACTAATTGTTTTATAGGGTCTTGTTTGTTTTCATATGTTGGTATCTACTGTACAAAGATTAATTTTTTAAATTTCTATTGATTTATGACAAAAAAGTATTTAAGAACGGCTGAAGATAGCAAGAAATTTACCGTAACTTGTATTTGAATTGCTGCCTTACAGTTGATATCTATCCATTCATTTGTCTATCTGATAACCTGTGTATGTCTCAGTCTGATCTTCTCAGGGATGAGGTTAGGGGCCGACAGCCAGTTCAGTGACTTCCTAGATGGTCTTGGCCCTGCTCAGCTGGTGGGTAGACAAACACTTGCCACGCCTGCTATGGGTAAGTAAACATCTTCATATATATACTGACTAAAGTCTATCTCCGTTGAATTTGATGGCATGGAAAACTTTAAAACACTTTGTTTTTTGTTTTGTAGGAGATGTTCAGATTGGACTGATGGACAAGAAAGGGCAGCTGGAAGTGGAAGTTATCAGGGCCCGTGGTCTTACACCTAAACCAGGTTCCAAATCGCTGCCGGGTGAGAGTGTGCCAACAATACATACAGTAATTTTCATTAGCAGTGCATAATAGTCAATATAGATCAAGGATTCTTTATATGTCTTCCATTCATTATGTAAACACTGTTATTTGTATGAGTAATAAGTAAATTAATCACTTTTAAGTGCACTGAATTTTTTTTTAATGTAAGCATGCCACCATTTATGGCCATTCATAAATGGTCAGTAAGATTTTAAAATATATAGAATTAATACTTTTATACAGCAAGGACGCATTGATCAAAAGTGACTGTAAATACATTTACATCATGTGAAATTGAAAACTATAGGTTACACTTTACTTGAAGGGGTGTGCATAAGACTGACATGACACCTTCATAATCATGACATGACACCTACATAATCATGACATGACAAATGTCATGAATATGAAGGTTTTTTATGCATGTTTATGACAACTGTCATTAAGTGTCATTCGCTCAGTTATGTAATTTTTAATGCAAAGATGACATTGTTTGAGATGTCTTTGTTATGGGCTATGGTTAGGGGTAGGGTTAGGTTAGGGTTAGGTCAAATAATTGTCATATTTGCATTAAAAATTACATAACTGAGCGAATGACACTTAATGACAGTTGTCATAAACATGCATAAAACCTGATGATTATGAAAACCTGTCATGATTATGAAGGTGTCATGTCAGTCTTATGCACACCCCTTCAAGTAAAGTGTTACCAAACTATAATATAAATATATATTGAAATAGAAACAGTTATTTAAAATTGTAATAATATTTGACAATATTACTATTTTACTATATTTTTGATCAAATAAATGCAGCCTTGGTCAGTATGAGAGACTTCTTAAAAAAAAAAAAAAGGAAAACCAACTTTTGAACAGTAGTGTATTTGCAGTTTTTATAGTGCTTGGACTAAAAGAAATGTGATTTAAAGTTTTTTAATGGAGTGATTACATCCCAAATATTTGGTCATTAATACATTGTACTAATTGTAAATATGACATACCACCACCAGGCACTATAACTGCCTGAACAACCCTAGTTGAGCACTACGTCTGCTCTTCACAGCTCCCTATGTCAAGGTCTATTTGCTGGAAAAAGGAGCGTGCAAAGCCAAAAAGAAAACCAAGATTGCACGGAAAACGCTTGATCCCTTGTATCAGCAATCGCTGCTGTTTGAGGAAAGTCCGCAGGGTAAAGTTCTCCAGGTAGGAAGCGAATTTCATTTGTTTGTTTCCGATATGCCTCCAAAGTCCAACATTTGTGCGTACTGACCACCGAATGTGTCTTCAGGTAATAGTCTGGGGAGATTACGGCCGCATGGACCACAAATGTTTCATGGGAGTCGCCCAGATTCTTTTAGAGGAGCTGGATCTTTCTAGCACAGTGATCGGTTGGTACAGACTTTTTCCCCCTTCATCACTGGTCGACCCGACATTAGCTCCTCTCACTCGTCGTGCTTCCCAGACCTCGCTGGACTCTTCAGGGCCGCCAGGCATCAGGTCCTAGTGAACGGATGGGAAACGCATGACCCAGTGGACCAATCAGAACCAGAGCGGCAGATAAAGAGACAGATGGACAGAATCATGATCAAAGCTTTGCTGAAGCCTGACAATCACTTCTCTCTTTTACTTTTGATCTTTGGGTTGTAGAGATTTCCTTTGATCCACTCTGCTCCTTTACTGCATGTTCTGTGGCTGAGATGACGATTCGACCCAAATAAAAAAGAGAAGGAAGGGAGAGGCAGCCGAAACGCGATCCTGCTTCGTCTGACAGGAAGCGGAGCCTACAGTGGCGCCGGTAGCCTAGATTGCTCTGGTCAGTCAGCACATTTATTTTCTCACGTGTTGGTGAGAGTGAGAGGACAGCACTGCCCCTCCTCTATATTGCACTTTCAGGAAGTCCCTCTGCTGAAAGACCAGAGGTCCAGGGTTAAAGGTCAAGATTTAGTCTTCTCAGAGAGTTTCCTCTCTGCATCACGGATGCTGCATCCGAGGCCCCGGCGTGTGCCGGTCTGGCACGAACTCAGACTCAGATTGTGTGACTGTGGCATGTGTGTGTGTGTGCGCGAGAGTGTGCGTTTGCATGTAAGAAGGCAGGGAGACGCCTGAGAACCTTTTAAGTCTGTTTACAGCAGTCGCCACCGACTGCTTTGCCTTTTCACGTTAATGTTGATTTGGTAAATAGGCACACTTTGTAGAATGTGAAAACATGCTTGATGTTTTCTGACATTTGTGTCATACGAGCTTCACGGAAGACACAAAACCACTTGTATTCGATTCATCAGGACTGTAAGAAGCTGCCACTATCATTTAACAGGAAACATTAGCTCACTAACACATTCGATTTCCAGGTTTCACGCGATCACGAATCATATCTTACAGGCATTTCCAAGCACTTTTAATCCTATTCCGTTTGGTAAAGGACCTGTACGTACCGATATTAGAATTTCTACCCGACTAGAGTTTGCATTATTTTAATGCAAGCACAAATGCTTGATTTTTGAACAAAAAAGAGAAAAAGTTCAAGCTTTTGGGGATTAAAAGTAATGCAAAAAAGAGGCCAAAATCGGAAGCTTCCTATTTTTAGCAGTTTGTCATCAGTTTAGTTGATTATAAAACCAATTTCACAGATCCCCCCCTGAGCATTTTGAATGTGACAGTGAGACGTTCCAACAAGGGGAACAGACGCCACCAACGAGGGGAACAGCATGAATCTGGAACTGTTCCAAGTTGCATGCACATTTTGTAAAACAAGACAGATGAGAAAAAAAGAGACTACAATAAGTGTGTTAGTTCCACAAACTGTAGGCCAGCTTGTATGTCGCATGTACTTGTACAGTTTGCTTGTACTTGATATAAATAGATTATCAAATAAAACGAAGCCATTCATTCCATGTGTGGGCATTTGGCCGGGTTCAGCCATACACACAGGCCTTATTTTGGGGCTGAATGTCTATAAGAATTTTTGAATCGTTTGATTTCCTTTTCTTTCTTTTTTTAACCCTGGCTAGATAAATAAGTGCTGTACTGAGCAAACACAAGACCCTATTTTATTGAAGATGTTGGTGTTCACTGTAGTCTGTACTACTGTGGGGCTAAAACTAAGGTAGATAATCTGTATAAAAACTAGAGCTATATGTATATGGAATATAATTATGAAAATCACAATGACTTAGAGATATATCGATATTGAAACAGAGTGTATCAAGTAAACATCACTTTCGTACATGCATATATTGTAAATATGAGTCTGCAAAGAAGTTTACTTATATTTACAAAGCGGCCCCATTCAAGTTAATGGATCAGTGCTCTTGTCTCTTGGTTCTGCTGAGCGGAAGAAGGGATGCCTCCAAAGTTTTATTTTAGTGATGCCCAATCTGACGAGAGAAATTTGGACCTCTATCGACCTGTTGCGTTACCATAAATGCTCACGAATCCTCGTTTGAATGAGAAGTTTACTTTATATGCCTGGTTACGGCAGACCTATTTACTTTGTCAGTATTATTCCAGAATACTGATTGTTTACAGTTCGTGTGTTCCACTGAAACAAAATTGAAAGTATTCACTGCAACATTTCTTGTTTGTACAGCAGACGTGGCTCAAATAATGTGTATGTTTTATATTCAAGAGTTCATTTTTATTATTTACAAATAAAAGACTGTGTGGAAGAAAATTGGTGTACCAATTTAGTGTCCTGTCCACCAATGCATCAACACCACGTGGAGACAAATAGCATTACACTGTCCCTTCCTTTTGTTTAGGGCTTATTTTGATTCGTTTATTTATTTATTTATTATAGTTGTGCAAGGTCACTGTTTAACTATTGCTAAAAATACTACTTCTATCAGTGCTTCAGATTTCTGGAAATGTGACAATAGACTTTGTTGTGTGTTTATATAACCAGTGAGCAGCTGTTCTTATGCCTAATTCAATTATATAGCTGATTGTAATTTAATGTCTGTTCAGGTGAGCAATAAAAGTAGCCATTCTGAAGTCTAGTGGAACATGGTCATAAAGAAAGATGCTTAGTCTTAAAGAAATAAAGTTATGTTTTTATTATTAGTAATGATAGATTTGGTGTTACTCCAAATTTTAATTCAGCGTAACACTCACTGCTCCTATTGTAATGCTGGTGCACTGGTCAGTAATACAGAACAGGAACCAATATTGTTATTAGGCCATAATATTACACAGATGCAACACCACTGAAAATCAAATCGAGCAGAGGCATGTTAGGAAATCATGATGCCATTGCACAGTTAGTTGGGTTGTAATAGAATAGTGCTGTTTTTTTCATGAACCAAATCATACATTTAAAACTGAAATCAAAAACAGACCATGATGTTAAACAGAGTGATGAGGCAAGGCAGGTTTATGTATGTACGCTATCCGAAAAAAGGGGTACAAAAGCTGTCACTGGTGTGGAAACCTTTCTTAAGGATTTCATACGTCCTTCAAAATGTGAATAGTACCTTCAAGGGTGCATATTCTGAGATTTTAAAGGCTTCTGAGATTTTACACAAAGGTTATAAATAGACATGACAGAGACAGAAAGTGAAGACATGAAAGTGCAAACAATAAAGGCTTTAAAACATTCAAATAACAAAAGAGCAGGTATAAATAAAATGCATTTTTCTCTCATAGAATCAGAAATAAAATACAGCAAAAGAAAAATAAAGGTAAGAAAGGGAATTTGATGAATGTACTGTATTTATACACTTCACTACTGGTATTTTGATATTATTTATATATTTATTAATATTTTGAAGCTTTCATTTGTATACTTCAGTTTCCATTTTAATTTTAGTTAAGTTTTAGTCATTTTTCTTCAATTTAAACTCATTTATTTCAGTTAGTTGCCAAGGCAATATTTTTGTTTTTTAAATTAAATTTTTTCATGTAACATTTTTCACACTTTCATTACAAAGACAACCATGGCCTAAAGGAGCAGGGCACTCTCAATGCCCCTGATGTTTTTTTTGTTTTTTTTTTGGATAAAGAAAGGGTCAAGAATGTCAGCAGCTGGAAACCAGGTGTGTTTTTGAGACCAGACCTATTTTGGTCCACCATGTACTGCAGACAGCCCACCTGATGCCGAGAATTTGGTAAGTGGACAACACAAGCCGTACCATCATTCAGGTCCAACAATGTGCAAGTGGTTGAATCTGAATGGCTTTAACAGGAAGAAATAACAAGACGGTAAATTACAAGATGATTTGTTACTGAGAAATGTCAGTGTAAGGGAAGCTAACTGTGAAAAAATCAGTGCAGGAAGTTGTTGTGGAGTTTCAGATGCTAATTGGGAACATTCCAGCAGCCAGGGGCAAATTTGGTTTAAACTGACATAAAATATCTGCCACATATTTGTACTTTGTTGTAAGAACTTGCTACTTTAAAATGGTTAAGCTGTATGCATGTTTAGCAATAAAAGGGAATAATTTGCAGTGATTAAACAATGGTTGTGTATATAATGAAAAAGTAGGCATTATGCAACATTTCAAACATTTGTATGCTACTTTTATCAAATTAAAATTTCTGTAAAAGAAAAAAAAACTCAATTTGAGAGTTAAAAAAAGAAAGAAAAATTATACACGTATAATTGCTTCCAGGCAGTGCTATTTTATCATTGAGGTCCTAGTTTTTATTTTTATATTTTACATTTTCATGTTAATTTTACTAAAGTTTTAGTATTTTTTTTGTAATTTTGTTGTTTTTATTTTTATTGGTTTATTTTTCCTAAATATGTAGGCCTATGTAGATTTTATTTTAGTTTTAGTTATTGTAGTGCATCAAGGCAAGGCAAGTTTATTTATATAGCACATTTCATACACAATGGCATACACAAAGTGCTTTACATAAAAGAAAAGAAAATAATAATTAAAAAAAATGATCACAACAATAAAACAAGGAATTTAAAAACGGAAAATGATTTAAAAATTGATTTAAGATGTTTAAAATGAATGTAAAACAGTTAAGAATAGAAAATGATTATACATATAATATAGTGCAAACAGTTCGGACACCGCACGGTGCTCATTCAATAAATGCACAGCTCAACAGATGAGTTTTGAGTCTAGATTTAAATGTGACTAATGTTTTAGCACATCTGATATCTTCTGGAAGCTGATTCCAACTGCGGGCGGCATGATAACTAAAAGCAGACTCCCCTTGTTTTGTGTGAACCCTTGATATATCTAACTGACTCGATCCTAATGATCTGAGTGGTCTGTTAGGTTCATATTCAGTGAGCATATCTGCTATGTATTTAGGTCCTAGGCCATTGAGTGATTTATAAACGAGTAAAAGTACTTATCAATCCTAAATATAACTGGAAGCCAGTGTAAGACCCAATGACTGGTGTGATATGCTCAGATTGCATATACATCAAGTTAAACTCTAAATGAAAACAAGAAAAGTTGCTTGAGAAACTTCCTGAAAAAGTTGTTTAAGTTGTAAGAATCAAGACACAGTCAGCAGATAAGGAAATCAAACAAGACAATAATAAATAGCCTAATAATGTTTTTGAAGCTCTGAAATATTTTCACTCATTTTACTCTTGAATGAGTGAAACAAATGATTCCAACACTGAATGGACTCACTGAATCAAACAGAGTTGTTACTGAATCTTCTGACGGAACTGCTGGTTATCATTATTTTTAGTGATATCCGTTTCGAATGGAATTTTGTGAGTTGAAGGCTGGACGAGAGTTGAACAATCAACAATAGACTATAACAAAGTATTAATCTGCCCAAGGAATCTGTTCTCGTGTGAGCAGGTGAATCGATCAGCGGTGGACTGTGAAACGTGTTCAGTAAGTACATTCATAAACTCAGTGCTGTTACATTGCCAGGCAGCTGTAAATGGAAAGTGTCTGTTTTGTCTGGTTTCAGACTGCCTGGGAAATGAAACCAGTGCCGTGAAAAGATTTCAAACATTTTTAAAACCGGAGCTGATTTATGGCCAGTCTTGCAAATATGTAAAAAGCATATCTTGCGCTCCATTCTTCAAATGAATCTATTGAATTACATTTTAAGTCTAGTAACTCATTTCTCTTTGCCTTGATCCCGATGGCCATATAATCTTCATAGTTTTTTTATGACAGGGGTTATTGGAGAGTTTGTCTGGGTTCTCACTATCCCTCACCACCGTGCCATACTCATATTCTGCAGAAATGTGTTTCAGGCTGATGGATTGGAGGAGGCCTTAACATTTAGAGGCTTTAGTAAACTCTCTGTTAATTCACAGATCTTATGGCCAAACCAAGACTTCATTTTTACAGTTTAACAACAGTTAAATCAGTGAATCTAATCTGATTGTGATTTCTTATAAGTAGTGATATAAAGGACTGCAGAGAGCTTGGCATAAAATGCTAATATAGGAAGGCCTAAATCATATAAGCTACATGGAACCACATTATTAGAACAATAATAGCGTCAGTCAATTTTATTTAGGCAATTTTTTTTTTTTTTTTAGCTGTTATGGTTTTTAGCTATATTTCACACTTCTATCAGTGCTTTGTAAATGGAACTACAGTAACATAATGTTCACACAGCGCACACAACTCCTCTACACTTCCGTTTTCTCCCGATATGGGGACAGGAGAGCTGTTAGTCAATAACTGGGAAAACAAAGTAACTGTCGTTACTTTTTTGAAAAAGTAACTCAGATATTTTCTTGTAAATTAAAAAAGTAATGCGTCACTTTACTAGTTACTTGAAAAAAGTAATCTGATTACGTAACTCGCGTTGAGTTACCCCCAACACTGGTCATAAGCCAAAAAATATTTATATATCGCAAGTAATACAAGTAGGCTATTCTAACTTGGGCGATTTAAGCGACAAAATATAATTTCAATTGCTCAATCAATCTCAATGGACCCCAAACCCCCAAAAACGTAGTTAACACTCCGATTCTAATAAAAAGAACATTTAGATTGCAATTAGTGCACTAAATAAACTCGAGAACACAAGTGCTCTTTTGTTGACTTTGATTGCTAACATTCCTCATTTGAAAGCCGCTTTGGATAAAAGCGTCTGCTAAATGTCTAAATGTAAATGTAAGTAGAATTCACTTGAGGTGGAGGTGGTAACCATAGCAACAGTAGGTCGCTCAAGCGTAAACATAACTCATTCTTTATCATCTTTCTACTGTATTTATAGCAAGTATATCATGAAAAGTTGTCTATTTAGGTATTTTAGATTGACCTCGACAGATTGCGGTTCGAAAATGAGCCTATACAAAATGTAACGTATAGCCTTTTGACAGAAACTGTCGTAAAAATTACCCGTTTAATTGAAAGTAGCCTAATTCGCGCGCTGAAGCGCACGCTTCATAAAACTCACAATTTGCTTGTATTGTAGGCGTTTAAGTCCTACATTATATCTAGTCAGGACATCTGAACTAGAATACAGTAGCCAATGATTTACAGTAGCCCATAGAAAGAGAGAGGGAGAGAAATCGAGAGCGCGCGCGGGTGATGCCCTCCCCTCGCCAAATCTCCTTCACTGAGATGGTGACGCTCCTTCAAAACTCCAGTCTCACGGCGGCGGGAGCAGATTGCTTGAGTCATCTGAAGGTTCATAACTTTACCAAATCTTTCATAGCTTATCTGCCAATGAGCTGGATGCCTGCACTTGTCA